AAATGAACTAATGGTTCGTTTGAGTTTTGGACAATTAAAATTGCGCCCACATTTTCAAAGTTAAACACATTTCTTTTAACAACGGTAGTTTCTGCTTCAGCCCCCCCCCCCCCCCCTCCCCCTGCGCAGCGGCCGCAAACTCACTGATGCGCCTGCAGCCTCTCGGAGTTCCTGCTGCTCTAAACATCAAATTAACTATTTCATTTTCTGTTCCTCACTTCTGATTACCTTCAATGGTGTCTGTTTGTTGCAACTAGCAGGTACAAAAACTAACTTGTTTTTATTTGACTATTTTTCTGTCCTGCCTGTTTATTATCTTCCTGCATCTCCTCTCAATCCTAAAGAGAAACTGCTACCTGGGTTCATATATATTCACCTCATGAGTTACCTTTGAACTGCAGTTCTAAAGGATCTACCCAACGCAAAAACAGCGGAGTGCTCGCTGCTCGCCGGCCGCATCAGTGATCGGTGCGTCGGAGGACAAGGTGATGTGCCCCGCTCCACAGCAGCGAAACACATCAGGCGCAAATAAAAGACAGAAAACATTAAAGGAAATGAACCGACATGAATGATCGCGTGTCAGTACCGATGCTCTGGCACAGTGCGTTGCCCCCCCCGAGCGCAGGAGCTTGTTACCTGCTGACAGCAGGCTGCTGTCTTTTCCGAGGACTGCATCTTGCCGGTCATTATCACGTGACAGCGACTAGTCGATGACAGGCATAAAAAGTCACTATAGAGCTCCGGACCCCACGTGACTCTCAGTTAGTGGACGCCATTTTGGCATGCGAAAAAAGGTAAACAAACACGGATGTAACCATGAACATGAACGGGATCAGCTTGGATTTTACTTCGTCTGAGTTTACTTCACACTTTAAAACAGAATAAATCATTTTATATAGTCAGAAATTAAATAGACTAAACATCTCCGACCCTTACCGTGCCCCTGGGATACTATTTAAAAACGCCAGAAGCTGTCGGAGCAGACTTCTTACCGGCACAACACCGGACCTGACCGGGGAACCCCTTGGGATTCCCCCGGCTGGAGGAGCTGGGGAGAAGGTCTGGGACTCTCGACTCTACTGCCCGCTCCGACGCCAGAAACTGTCGGAGCGGGCTTCTTACCGGCACAACACCGGACCTGACCGGGGAACCCCTTGGGATTTACCCGGAGGAGCTGGCTCCGGCGACTGGGGAGAGGGAAGTCACGCTACTGCCCCCGCAACCCGACTCCGGATACGCTGATGAAAATGGATGGATGGACGGACAAATAACAGATTTACACGTAAGTAGTCACTGTGACACAGATAATAGCAATCCAAAGTGCTTTTTATGTGTGATCTGACAATTGATCAACCATTGCTTAAAAATTAAATACAGCTTAGCCGGTTAATTGCTGTGATCATAAAACACGTAAACGGCAGCACGCAGAACTCACGAGGCAACGTTTTACGTGACGTTTACTTGTTGCTATGAGTAATAAGACAGAAAAAGCCCCGCCAAAATAAGTTTAGGAAGCCCACTAAGAATCGTAATAAAAGCATTTAAAATAAACACCATACACAGTTGAGGAAACTTTGGTTTAAGTACCTGATATGAAGCGGTCGCTGCATAAGCGAAATACTTTACTCTCGGGATCCCACAGCTTCATTTTAGCCCGGTCACTAGTGCATTTTATTACAAAGATCCAACGTTTGCGGCGCTCCGGATCTTGGGGAATCTTGTAGATGGCTCATTCCTTATGTCGTCCGCGTCTGTTCTGCATCCTGGGGCACAACAGGAATCTACCATATTTCCTGTTTGATTGAGTTTTCTGACAATAACAAATAGTCCAGCTGCCGGCTTCTGCATGCCAATATGGCGCCGTTTCGATTTGAACTGTTGCATGCCGGGAGAAGTGACGTCAACTCCCGGAACTCTATAGAGCGGTGAAGTCGACTAGTGACTAGTTCATACAACCCCTGCTACTGCTCCCCAGAGTGTTCTGCAGCATAATCAGCACGTTCTCTTTGAACTTGATATCAAATTTTCACCTCCTCTTCGTCTCCGCACGGTTAAAGTTACCCTCCCGGTCTATCACTGGCAAATCACAAGTGAGACGATGACACAACCGCCCCCCGTACTTGCTTGTTACCACATTCCACCCGGCCACAATAAAAAACCTGCCATTATTCACCTCCTCCGACTCCGACACCGGCCAAAATACGATACCCGGCCGTTAATTGAATACCGGCCAACATTAGAGGATTTACGGTATGTAGTTCATCATCACACTACACAGGCCCAGCGTCAAGGCCGGGCCTGGGCGGGCCCGGCCCGCCCATTTGCCGATCTGGCCCGCCCAGGACAGATTACAGCACCGCATGCAAATGTATTGGCTCAAGACAATCAACAGAGGGCGCTCTGGGTTACTAATCGACAGTTTTAGATGCAGTAGAAGAAGACGCTTTGGTACAGTAGCTTGCTAAAATGGATATCAGAGCTTGGTTTAGCAAACAGAAAAACAATGCTAGCACAAGCAGGGATGACGCATCATCAAAAAGGCCAGTGCAGCCAGAAGTTGCAGCTACAAGCACTTCTGTTCCTCCTCTCTCCGTGCCTCCAGCACAGTCTCAGCAGGCAATTGCGCCACCGAGTGGCAGCAGCACCAACATAACTCGCTGTTCAGATGACCTCGGGGTGGATAAGCCTAATCAGGCGCGCCTGGAAAACTATCCAGTTCGACTTTTCTCTGTGAAAAAATGCAGTTTTTCTTCTTCATGGCACCAAAATAGAACCTGGTTGGAGTATTCATTGAAAACAGATGCAGCATGCTGTTTCTCCTGCAGACAGTTTAGTTCTCATTCCTCATCATCTGACTCAACATTCAAAGAATCAGGCTTTAAAGATTGGAAGCATGCAACAGAAAAAGATAAAGGACTGAACAAGCATGCATCATCAAAAGACCACATGTTGTGTGAGAAACTCTGGAGAGAGAAAAGAATGTGCATTGAGACTGATTCTGAAATCACAACCCTGGTGCACAAAGATCAACTGGCCCACAGCAGATATTATGTAAGCTCCATCACTGACATTGTAGCTTTTCATGCTATCAATCATCTGCCTTTCAGAGGAGACACTGATGCATGGGATTCAGCAGGACAGACTGGTAGTGGCTTATTCTTATCATTGTTTGAGTTTACTCTGGAAAAAGACCCAAATTTGGCTAAAATAATTCCTGCCATCCCAAGAAATGCAACATACACAAGCCACGAGATTCAGAATGTAATCATAGAACTAATGAGTCGACAGGTGACTGAGCATATTGTTGAGGAAATAGGGAACTCTTTTTACACGGTCAAAATGGATGGAACCAGAGATCCAACAGGATGTGAAAATCTCTCTACTGTCCTGCGCTTTCATGATGAAACGTATGCAATAAAGGAGAGACTGCTGACTATTGCTACATCAGACGCAGGTGATGCTAAAACTCTCACACAGACACTGATCTCAGAAATAAGAAAAGCTGGCCTGACAACAGACAAAATAATCAGCCACGTGTATGATGGAGCCTCTCTGATGTCAGGAAAACTGGGTGGGGTTCAAGCTCTCCTGCAAGATGAACTTGGCAGAGAAATCCCATACGTGCACTGCTTTAATCACCAGCTTCACGAGCTATTGTAGATGTGTTCAGTGTCTGCAATGCCCTGTACAAGTTCACAAGAAAGCCCACTGTTGCAGCTAGATATAAGGGAAACACACTGAAGCGTTTACTGGAACAGCGCTGGACAGGACACCTGGCTACAGTAGGAGTCATTCTGAAATCTTTTTAGGAGATTCTTGAAGTGCTGGATCATGTTGAAAACACACCTTCATTCCCAGCAGACACAAGGATGGAGGCAGCAGGGCTGCGTAGCGCTGTGTCCAAACCAAGCTTCCGCTTTCATGCTCTTGTTTTGCAGAAGATTCTGGCCATTCTTGAGCCACCCAACAGGATGCTACAGTCAGAAGAAATGGATCTCCAAACAGCTGTCCAGCTTGTGAACAGTGCCAGGGAGTGCATTTTGGCCCTGCGCACTGAGGAAGTCTTCATGGAGTTGTGGAACGGAGGCCAATGACACTGCCAGCCATCAGAGTAAGAGAAAGTGCAGTGTCAACAGAAACCTAAACGATTACATTTTGGAGCAGACATCAGGATCACGACCACAGGAAACCCAGATCAAAGAACAACAGCGATTGTTTTACAGCTGCATTGATGCTGTTGCAGGTGAAATTGTGCACCGTTTTGGAGAGCGAAACAGCTAAATTGATAGAAAGAATGGCTTCTCTTAATCCAGAAAGTACCTCCTTCCTGGACCCTGAAAGAATTAAACCTCTGCTTGCTCTAACAGGAACCACAGTAAATGAAGCTGAGTTTGTGGTTGCCCGTCAACACATTCTAAAACACACGGAGACCTTTACATCGACAGATGAAGGGAAATGGACAATAAAAACAGTCCATGCTTTCGTTCTTTTTTAAACACAGAAACAGTTTTGTTTACCTGTTTGTAGCTACAGTTTCGCCGACGGCTGCCGGCTTCTTCAGGCTGACGCTGATGGTGGCGCGTCACTTCCTTCTCCGTTTATCTGCGGGCAGCAGAGGACGTTGTCGCCCTCTACTGCCCGCTCTCCCCTCTCCGACGATGCAGTCCCATGCGTGGTCCAGCGTGTAAACTCCGTCGTCCCTGTTCATGGTCCCACATCCACGTCTCCTTATCTCGATTGCTTCCTTGATCCATCTTTTGTATTTTTGTTGTTCGGTGGTTATGATCCGTGTGCTGTCCCAGTCCATTATATGGTTTTCTCTTAAGCAATGATCTGTTACGGCTGACTTTTTTATTGTACTTTCTGCTTCTTCTCACACAAGGGCAGCAAAAGAAGACACCACACACACACACACACACACACACACACACACACACACACACACACACACACACACACACACACACACACACACACACACACACACTGACCTCCACAGATCGATGTCAAAACAAGTTTTTATTGGCCAATATACAGAAAGTGCTGCAGTGACCATTCCAAAGAAAACCAGACCAAAGAGTCCAAAGAAGGAAAGAAAAATGTACACGTTATACAAGGTTCCAACGTTAATTCCACCGTCCTCTTCTAAAACAAACATCAGGACAAATTAGGGCTCGAGTTGATGCAAACGCCACCAGAGATTTTAAGTGGGGGAGGGGTCAGGGAAAGGAAGTGACATCACAAGAGCGGGCGTGGCTGCAGCGGAAGAAAACTCCTAAACAACACATGAGCTCTTTACATGGACAGACAACAGTAACACACACACACACACAGCGTATTCCTTCAGCTGGAGGACTCGCTCCAGTTTGTGGGACAAACGGTGGCAGATCTGAGAGGGACAGGGCCCCAACACAGCAGCTTCCTCACCTCTGGACTCTCCTGTCAGAACGGTTGGAGTAATGCCCTTTCACTTTGATGTGGGATCAAATAGTCATGTGCCAGCTGGACCCATTCCTGTCCTCATGAGACAAGGTCACAGCGTGTGTGCAGGATAATGGAGCTGTGCTTCAGACATGTTTGACTCACTTTTCTATTTCCTAAAACTAAACTGTAAAATTTAGATTAAAGGAACAGAGTTGAATTTTCGCAACAATAATTACTTCATGTGTCTTATTTATTATTATTGGCATTGATACTATATTATCATTTAGCATTTTAAACCAAAATCTCAATAACTTTGATCAGTGTAAGAGTAAAATCAATTCACCAGGAACATTTGAAGTGTTTCTAATCCATAACCCATAAAACAGGTCACTGCTATTCAATTATTATTACAGCAATAAATTATTCAAATTTTTGAGAATCAGACCTTTGTTGTTCATGATGATGATACACACTTAAAGTGCACTCATCCAGATAAGGAAACACCTCTAAAGAGGACAGCCTCCATGATGCCACCTGGTGTCAGTCTGCAGAGTTTCAGCCTGAAACCACCCAGAGCCAACAGAAGTCCAACTTTAATCTGAACTTTCCTTAAATGAAGACGTATTTGGTCCTTTTCTGTCTCTCTAAGGTGCTCTACACTTTTTCACTTGGACCAGTTTTGTCCTCATGGAGGCTGTGACACATCCACATGGATAAACCAGCTGGAATGACCTGATCTCAGAGCTCAAACACACACACAGATTACTATGGGATGGGATCTGAAGTGTCCCTCCAGGTGTGTGAGTTGATGAATGCATAACAACACGGGTGCTGTGTACAGGTGGACAGGATGAGACATATCGGGGTGGTGATGGAGGAGAGAGAGAGCAGGAGGGTTGTCACCCACGAGATTCAATATTTACAAGGGGCCATATAAAAATGTACAAGGAGACTCGTCTTTCCTTCCCAGAAACCCAGAACTCCGACCCTGCTGCGAGTTTACATGACATCTGCAACAGCACACAGATTTTTACCTCTTTTTCTGTTGAAAATTTGTTTTTTGTGTAAAATCACCTGGCTGTGCCACATTGGCGATAACAAAAACTGATAAATAACACATATACAAACCAAAAATAGTCTCATTCCTTTGTTTTTTTTAAATATATTTTTGTAAATAAAGGCTTATTTGGAATACTAATGTGGGGACATCAGAAATCTCACCGTAGGATTTTAGACATCAAACCAGATGAGCGGTTCTGTGCTGAACTTGGCTAGCAGCCTGATTTCACCCAGGACTGTCGTTCTGGTGGGTTCAAGCAGCAGCTGGACTGCTTTCCTACGCGCTAGAGTCATTTTATTTCTTCTTCAAGGATTTCTCCCAATTCAAGCAGAAGCAGCAAATTTCCAAACTTTGAAGCTGTAGTGAGTAGTCCGCTAACGCGAGTGAACTCCAACCCTCTCTCCTGAGCACCACTGGAGCGTTTGCTGGCCCGGTGAGCTTGTGTTCCTGAAAATGAACTGATGTGAAACGGGAATAAATTCAACGGAGCATTTTGTTTTCTCTTTTGACACCAGCAGCCTCTTCTACCCTCCTCTCAAATCCTCCATCTGTGTGTAAAATATGAGCATTCCCATGCCTGCCTGCTGGTGGTGTTCGGTGGGGCCGGTGGTGTCTCGCCTCTGTCAGCGCGCCCCAGGGCAGCTGTGGCCAACCCTAACCCATCATCAGCATGCGAATGTGTGTGTGTGTGTGTGTGAATGGGTAGTTGTAAAGTGCCTTGAGGGGTTGTGGAACCCTAGAAGGCGCTATGTAAATACAGGGGTATTCAATTCCGGTCCAGGAGGTCTGGGGTCCAGCACGTTTTAGTGGTTTTTCTGTTTCAACACACTTGTCGCCTGTGCAGCAGCACATCAGGCTCTGCAGAGGCCTGTTAATCACCTGCTGATTGAAATCAGGTGTGTAGAAGCAGGGTTAAACGTGCTAAACAGCGTCTCTAGTAATCCTTGGGATAAGTGAGGAGTAAAGGAGTATCACACCAGTCTGGACATCTGCACTGTTCTGTTTGAATTGAGAAAGCTCCTTGGATAGAGTAAAACATTTCTAAAGTAAAAAAAGGCCCAACAGCCTTCATTTAAGCCTCCGGGGACCACCGCACGCTGGACGACGGAGAACTTCACCAGAAGAAGACTCTAGGTGCAGATGAGAGAAAATAATCCCTCCTCTCAGGGGAGGATCGGATTAATTTGTGAGGAAGATAAAAGAAAATTCAGGTTGACATTATTTTTGTTGAAAGTATAAATAAAAAGTTTTCAAAGCCAAGTCAGTTTGATCTGCATGTGTGTCGTCTTCCAGCAGGGGGCAATATAACCTAATATTTCAGAGCATTAGGTCCTTTTATTCTGTTTTCATCTGATGTGTGAGTGTGCGTGCGCATGTGCGTGTGTGTGTGTGAGAGAGAGACAGTGTGAGTACATATTTCAGAAACATCGCGTTGTTTTGTCCCAGCTTTGACCCGTCTTGCTTGACTGCTGCATCCTCTTTAGTTGGACGTCCACTTCCTCTTCACTGTCATCTGACTCAGCACTGGTGATCTCGTCGTCCTCTTCATCATCATCCTCTTCCTCCTCACTGGCCTCCTCCTCTGCACACTGGGGTTCCTCCAGGTCCTGTAGTGAAACATGTTTGCAGTGTCTGAAATGTTGGGGCAAATTCACCAAGCAGGTCAAGTTAGCAAGGAGGCTATGCTAAAACAGGAGCTGTTAGCATCTAGCTGAGAACAGAACCAGCACCAGAATTTATGCACCCCAAAACAACCTGGAGGAACACTCCAAAATCAGGTCTGGCAAATCGTTGCCACCTACTTTGATTCTTTGATGATGTGGGATGCTGGTTTTGGTGGACACACACCTCAGGCACACACACACACACACCACTGGACACACATTCAGCATGGATGACTGACAGCATGTCTAACCCCCCTTTCCCTAGGAACCTTCATGGCCAATACGGAGCCTAAGTCACGCCCATCCACTTCCGGACCACGGGTCCCCGGAAGAACGGAGAAATGAATGCAAGTCAACTGGGCTAAAACGCAGTTTTCTGATTCGCTTGTTCTGAGTCATGGAGTTCACATATGATGTCCTCGAATTTTAAAGACGCATTTTGTTACCAAGGAAACATTGGTTTTGATTTTGTGTAAAAATAAGTCCAGGACTACAAATGTGCATCACCAAAGTGACGTCACTGAACCAGACACGGAGAAAAACAGGGAAAATGGCTGTAAGTTGAGCTAACTTAAAATCCTTCCTTCAGGAGGAAAGAACCACCATAAATCTGGCCATGTGGTAAGTAGCAGCTACGCTAGGGTAGAGGGGATTCTGTGGTGACGTCATATATGCGACGTGCTGATTACTAAGTTGTAGTCATGCTAATTACGAACATTAACAAGCTAATAAATCTCAAAGTATGTGACTGGCGTGGTCAAAACACCCGTCATAACTGTTCATATGTGTGATCCAGGGCGTAAGGCAAAGCGGATTAGAAAATAACTCTTTAGCCCCGTTGACTTCCATTCATTTTTTTCGTTCTTCCGGTGACCCATGAGCCGACCGGAAAGGGAGGAGACTTAGGCTCCCTATGTGGATACATCATCTCTCCAGCTGGTCCTGGGTCAACCTGGGGGCCTCCTGCCTGAAACATTTCCCCTGGAAGATGTTTCAGGTGGCATTCTCATCAAACGCTCAAACTACTTGAGATGTCTGCTCTTGACCTGGAGGAGCAGCAGTTCTACTCTGGGTCTCTCTCTGAGGCTGAGCCCATGGGAAACTCATGTCAGCCGTTGTTTTTACCATCTTGTTCGTTTGGTCATTAGCCAAAGCTCATGACCAGAGGTGAGGATCGGGATGAAGACTGCCCGATAAATTGAGCTTTGCTTACTGGCTTTACCTGCCACGGCTCTGATCACCTGTCGATCTCCTGATTCCTCCTTGTCTCTAATGCACAAGACCAGAAGATGCTTAAGAGACAAGATTCTCCTGCCACCAAACTCGACACACACCACTGCACGGCTGCACCTAGAAATTCTGCCCTTGTAAACATGATGGAAGCAGATTTTGACAGGATTGAACCAACTGCACCTACCTAGATGTTCTACGGCAAGAAAACCTGATGAAGTAGCAAAGACTCAATGTCTTTGGGAACTGAATAGCTCTTAAGAGAGGGTCATCCACCCCAAACACCCATAGGATGTTCATGGGGACACAAGCATAAGCCTTCTCCAACTCCTCAAAACTCATGTGGGCATTCCCTTTTCCCCTCCAGCGCCCTAGCAAGAGTGAAGAATGAATGAAGGATTCCAATCACATGACAAAAACACCCAGAGACCCTCCATCACCAACACACTTTTTCCTCTTCCGTTGCCACAGCCTGCCTCCTCAAATATGCCAGTCTAGAGCTGGCCCTGATTAGCATGTAGCTAATCTCCCACTGATCTCCGACCGTGGCATTGCATGACCTCACGTAACCAGCCATTACAGGCTCCGATCGCAGTGGTCTGAGGCACTGCTTGTATTTTAACAGTCCATTAGAGCTCCACAGGCGACCAGCATGACTACAGCTTCACACGGGAGCCAGGTCGGTGTGCAGGTCGGCTACCCCGGAACTCCGTTTAGCTTCAGGGGTTAGCTCAGCTAGCTAGTAGCTACATTGGTTAATTTGTTCCCATACTCAGCTCCACCTCTTTGCCCATTTTTGGATTGTCTGGGCATGATGAGACATGTGACACGGCCAAAATGGTGGTGGTGGGAACCTCCCATTTTGATTCATTTCATGAGAGAAATGGATGCTGCTACTTCCAGTAATACACAGCAAATTCAGCATGCTCAAAATAACTATCAGAGTTGATTTCAACACTTTTGAAGTGTCTATATGGGTCCACCCCAGTAAGTGTTAATTTAACACTTTTTGGAGAGTTGGTACTTTAACTCTGATTTAGTGTTAAAAACCAGCTCCTCTAGAGTTAAACATTTAACACCAGTGTAAGTGTTAAGACAGTAACACTAACACTGGTGTTAAATATTAAGACAGTAACACTAACACTGGTGTTAAATATTAAGACAGTAACACTAACACTGGTGTTAAATATTAAGACAGTAACACTAACACTGGTGTTAAATGGTTAACACTAAATCAGAGTTTACGAACCAACTCTCCAAAAAGTGTTAAATTAACACTTACTGGGGTGGACCCATATAGACATTTTAAAAGTGTTGAAATCAACTCTGACAGAGTTATTTTGAGCATGCTGAATTTGCTGTGTACTGTACAACCAGTGCTAATTTTCAGAGTCAGTTTACACTCAAATTATTAATCACCACCATGATTTAATGAATTTAAATACTTTTCAGTGTGCCATGCCAGGAAGCTAACAGCTACACTGAACAACAATAGCTAACTCATGCTTTGTACCCCTCATGACTGCAATCAGTCAGTGGGGAGAGGATCACAAGAAGCAGAGTCCTGAGCATGTAGTATGAATTATGCACCACATTCTTATTGTGATAGAGGAACACACAGTGGACCCATTCTTTTGACCGGCCTCCTCGCTTACGGTACAAACATGACATAACAAGCAAAACCACATTAGCAACAGTGAACAAAGTACTAACTAAGTACAACACAACTCCCCAAAATAAACATGCATAAACACCCCAAAATAGATCTAACTAACTAAAAACATGACTACCCACAATGCACCTTGCCCACTGTAGCTCCTGCAACTCTCTGCAGCCAATCGGTTGCTACCAGTCCAACTTTTAGAATAAAAGGGTGGAGTCTACAGATGAACTTCGCAGGTGTTACAGCTGCTGCGGGAGTTCAGAGTTAGATTTTCAGGGGTTATTTAGTCCAAAATGACTCCTACAGAGTTGATTAGGAAACACTCCTTTTTTAACACTGGGTTTTAACTCTCATGTCAGTGTTAAAAATCAATTATATAACACGATTTAGTGTTAAATGAACTATTCTTGGTGTTAAATTGTACCAACACCAGAAAATTAACTTTTCTGAATTTGCTGTGTATGTTTATGGATGATGGTCATTCACCACATATTATGGGGTACTATAGTGGAATTAGGGGTTTGTAACTGATATTGACATCATAGTCTAACACTAGCTTCTCTAGAGAGTTCAGGATAACATCAGCTAGGTTGTTTATCTTATTTATGAAGATGTGTCACTTTTCTGGAACTTTTGAAGTTTGAACAAAATAGTGCAAAATATGAAGCGTTGAAACTGTAATGAGAACTTTGTTATTGTGAGCATGCGTATGCTCCACAATCCTCCACACATCGTTTGTTTTTCTTTGGAGATGAAAATCTTGGGACCACATAGGTCAATGCGCGTTTGCGAACCATGGACCTCGTACATCACCGCGTGCTCCATGAACTGAACTGTATGGCCGGCAGTGAGATGCCCCTTTATCCCTGAAGGATGCCCTTTTGTCCCCTCGTGGAGTCAACCGCCCACCGACCTTCCTTCTTCTACTACTACCTTTCGCATGGACGACATCATCATTGCGTACCACCTGCGTGGGTGGCTTCTTCTCGTTATGCGCGTTGGGGACTATCCCATTTCCTATCCTCTTTTATTTTGTGCCTGACCAGGATCCAAGACAAAGACCAAAGACAAAGGCGTCCAAGGAGACCAACGTCATAAGGGACAAACCCACCTGTGCTTCCGACAATCAAGTCGTCCGACAACAAAAGTCGAACAACATCATGAGGGACACACCCATCTGTGCTTCCGACGATCGAGCTTTGGGCGCGATCCCCGAAACCAAAAGGGGGAATGTTGAGGGTCTGCCCTCGTCAGAAATAATCACTGCAGTGATTTTCTCCAAAAAGACTGTGCTAAATATGCTCTGAAAGAGCAAATAATCACATCAGCGCCAAGAAACTTCATTTCCCATGATGCTTTGCATAGGGAAGCAAGGTGATGACGTCACCACAACAACCAGCTCAAAAACTATAAGTTTCAGCGAAAAACGAAACTTAACTTTCTTATGCCCAGTTCACTGGCTGTAAAGGACGCTCATTGCTGCTGCTCTGATCAACGTCAGCCAGCAGGAGGCTGGCTGCTGGAGCAGATCGTACACAGAACCGCTGAAAGCAGGACTTGGAAACCCAAAAAGCAACTCCAGCTCCATCAAGCACGCTGTAAGTTACCCAACTCAGCACAAAAAGAAACTTTGCTCTCTTCCAGCCCAGTGGGAGAAACAACGGAGAAGCGTAAATCACATCTGACCAGGGAACACAAAGGGACGCCTTGCTTTGCCCCGGAACAGCTGTTATCTCCTGCAAGTTTTTATTTCATTTAAACTTTTACCTTTTCTCGTCTCTTCTAGACCAAGATAAGCAGTCGACCGCGTGACTTGCTTCAAATTATCAGACGTGTTTTCCTCTTTTCCGTATCAAAATCCGCTGGTCGGGTTTTTTGGTAAAGAGTAAACTGTTTATTGATCATCGTTAATATCTTTTGTCGGTCAGCTCTGGCCAGGCTGGTCGACTTCTCTTTTAGAATAAATAATTTACGAGTGACCTTTGTTGTTTTGTCAACTTTTGAAGTGTTACAGTTAAGTTTTACTGTGATTTTTAAGCCAATAAATGCAAGCTAATTCCCTTTTGTCTGCATCTGAGAGAGGAAAGTCAGCTTACAGCTCACACAACTCCAAGGACACACTCCCCACACACCTGGGAAAACAAAGCCCCATTCATACATCCTCCATCTCACACACACACACACACACACACACACACACACACACACACACACACACACACACACACACACACACACACACACACACACACACACACACACACACACACACGTACGTGTTTTTAGTGCTCGGTGAGGACGAAGCATTCATTCACACACACACACACACACACACACACACACACACACTCATACGGGTTTTTAGTGTTTGTGGGGACATCCTCCATTACACACACATTTTCAATTATATCAAATTGTTTTGCATTATTAACCTCCTTGTTTAATTAAATGTTATAAAATTCAGATTTTGCCTCAAGAGACTGTTTGTGTTGGTTGAAATTTCTGCTCCTAGGATTCACATCTTTTTGATAGACTGATAAGAGTTTTGGATTCATTTCCCTTTCTAATTAAAGGGATGGTGCCCCATAAGATGCCTAAAGAGTATCTTAATTAATTAATAACTCGGTAAATATTCCCATATTTACAGAATTTATTGAAGAATCCAAAAGTAAGTTAAAACTTACAAATTATTAGCTCCTAATTACCCCAACAAAAGTAACTTTTAACTTTTAATTCTCCTTTTCTCTGTTGCCTCCTCTCATCTCCAGACCCCCCCTACCTCCATTGGGTTGACTGTGATTGTCAGAGCTGAGTCATCCCAGTTCACATCAGCCACTTTAGTCGTCTCTGCCAGCCTCATATCCTGTTGATGGGTCACATGGATGCGGTATATGCCCAGCACCACCACCACCACAAGGGCGGCGATACACACAACGATCACCACAGTGGCAGCACTCGGTACACCTGTGAACATGTGGGAGGCAGAAGATAGGGTTAGCAGAACAATGCAGAAAGACCAAAGTTCACTCAAATAGTCCCATAGGGCTACTCGTTTATCAATGAACTGAGCTAGGCTAAATGGCTACAAACATGGTTTTATGCTCCTTCTAATTTTTATTTTCTCATGATTTTAACCTTCAGGAACATTTGGGAAAATTTAGTTTAATGTGGCTTATCCTGCATTTTCCATCAGTAAAAGAATGTTTTTCATGTTTTTGCTTCAGAGCTGCACAGAGCAGAAACACGGGACCTCTAGAAACATCTGGCCTTCACCTACCAGAGATGTGTGAAATTCTGAAACATGTAACAGCCCCTCTGTTTGCTCCTGTGCAAAAGTACGAACCAAGTCCAATCAATAATTAGAAATGCGTACATCATTAGAAAACAATTAAAAATAATTAAGCAAATTCAGATACATTAGAATAACATAAGCTATTAATCATAAATGAACGTTAAACAGTTTAATAACTCGTTGTTTAATTTACTTTAATGAGTCCTTATGTCTGGTTCTGTGGGCAGAAGATCCTGTGTTGCAGCAGATCTGAAGAAGCTACTGACTGAAGACACTCTGCTGTTGAACTACTGTCTCGTTAAGAGGAGGATCAGGGTTGTCCATCATGATCTTCATCCTCCTTTGTCCAGCCAGCCGAAGGAAGCCCTCTAAGACACTTCCTCTCCTTGCCTGTTGGTGGCGATCAGAGGGCAGCTGGAGCCTCTGTCAGTGTGCCACGCCGGTGAATTAATGACGGACACTAGGGGGTGCTAAAAGCAAGCAAAACTGCCAAGTGTGCCTTTAAAAGGACGCTTTGCAGCTCTGATTTGCTTTTAGCACCCCCTAGTGTCCGTTATTTATTCTCTGTGGTCAAACTGGCACCAAAATTTCGTTGCTGTTCATTCTACTTCTTAAAACCTCAATCTAACAGCTGTAATGTCTCCCAGCCTTCCTTAGAGTGATTCATCACTAAATGAAACAAATCAGTTGTGTTCATGATGTAAAGCATGCAGGAAACCTGCTGGAAGCAGACTGCAGCACCAGGTATGTCAGCTCCACTTTACTAAGTCACCAGAGACCAGACCAGCACTCTGAAGTTGCAAGTGCAATATTCTCGCCACAGGGGCGGTGGGGGTCTGAGTTACGTTTCATCAACCCAGTAAGGGTCATTTTAGCACAAACTGACTCAAGAAAATGATTTAAAACACTAAAAGGGTTAGTGTAGTCTAGCTAATATCAGAAAAGAAATGCCCGTTTTTTTTATAGCATACCATTTCTCTTAAACAAGCGTGTTTATTTGGTCTCCTCTGATCTCCATCCAAATAGGCAAGCAGGATTTTCCTCTCTCCAGAACACACACTTCCTGGTGTGTGTGAGTGTGTTTAATGAGGCCACGGCTCACAGAGAACTCTTCAAGAGATCATTTGATTCAGTCGAGTTCGTAGATTTTCACACTAAATCTGCTTCCTTTGATGTTTTCCAGTCCCACGTCATGCTGGTGCTCCGAGGAGCTCAGATGTTCCAACATAAACACGTCTTATTTTCCTGCTTCTTCCAGGTTTTATGCAACAGTTCCCTACAGTTGGAAATCTCTTTGTTGGGATTTCTTGACTTTGTATTACCCAGTGATATCCAACCACCCCCCACCTCTTCTGACCTCATTTATACACACACACACAC